GGCCGCCGGGGGGGGGGGGGGGGGAACAGTCTTGTGTAGCCCTAGTCCAGCTCCGTGCTGGCTGGCCTGCAGAATCGTGGGCCCTTCCGGGGGGTGGGCTGGGGCTGGGGGGACGCGTCTGCCATGGAAACCCGCGCACTACGAGGACACAGCCTCTGTCTGGATGGCGTGCAGCTGCCCCGCAGGGGGGTCCGGAAGCATGGTGCAGGGCTCGAAACGCCCACCTCGCATGTTTGGGTCAGGAGGAGCCACGTGCCATGATGGCGGAGGCGGTCCTGGGGCGTTTCCGTTGCAGGGAACTGCCCGTCTTGTTTGGCAGTTGACATCTGTCCGGTTGCCATTAGTTCCGAAAACCGGTCATCAGAAGAGCAGCCCAGGTTCTGCAGGAGTCTGCAGGTGCCTGTCACAGACCAAATGGCCGGTGCACCCGACAGGCGCCAGCTCTCGGGCAGAAGCTTCCGGTTTGGGTCACCACACTCCCAGTGACTGCCCGAGGCACCCGAGCCCCACTTGCATTGACAGGAATCGGCTCGACATCACCGATAGTGCCCCACTAGGAGTGATGCCTTCTTTTAAGCATAAATGATTGTCTCCCGTACCCTACTGAGTTTTCACAGAAACCATTAGCATTTCGGCCAAAGACATATGCACACTTTTCCATGTGCCCTGACCACAGGCGAGGTGTTGCTAACATTTCATTGAGAAGTGCTTAGAAAGTGCTCATGGTATTACCCTGGTAATTAGTAGCTATTCATTCCAAGGACATTTTATATATATTTTTATATATATATATATATATATATTTATATGTATATACACACTGTTCTAGTAGGTTCTTTCAGTTCTTTTTTTTGTTTGTTTTTAATACTAGTCTCTGGCGTTAAAAAACTTTGTTTTTTGCCCTTTGAGAATTTCTAAATACAAATTGAGTTAAAAGATTGCTCCAAAATCTATTTCATCAAAAGGCATCAAAACGCTTCTTATGGCAGGAAGGGTCCTACTAGTCTTTTTTAGGCTACTGTCTGGGATTAACAGGTAAGAAACCAGGCAGGAAGTGGCTAACATACTGGAAATATTTGCACATACCAAAATAGCACTGCTTTACTTCCTGTGTGTCTGCAGTGTCCGGGGAGGTGCCCGCGCCTCGCGGGCGTGCGCCCGGCACTATAGGCTGGCCCCGGTGATCTGGCCGTTGTACTCCGCCGTCTCCATCTTGAGGATGTAGGGGATTATGCTGTCTATGGACACGTTGCCGATGAGGCCGGTGAAGAACAGCTCTTCTGTTATGTTGGAGCTCATGAGCCGGAGCGCCGGCAGGCGGACGAGGATCCCTGTAAGAGGGCCGTCGTTAGTCTGCCCGCCAGACCCGGCCCAGCGCGGGTCCCCGAGGCCCTGCGGCTACCTGCGAAGCCCGCCACCGGAGCCACCACCCGCCCAGCCAGTGCTTGCTTTTCGCATTTCCACATTCCTTTTACAGACATTCCCCGTGCGGGGAAACGGCAAATGACTGCATGGGTGTGTCTGCGAGTACCTTCTCTTCAGTGTGGATGGGACAGTTCTCCCCGCCCTCACCAAAAGGAAAAAAGGAAAAAAGCAAGCTTGCAAATTCAGCAAGTGGCATAGGCTGAAAGGAGACCCGTCCCCGTACAACGGACTGCCCTGCTCCTTACAGGAGGGTAGGAGAAAGCTTATCTGTGGGTGAGGGAAGGCGCTCACGAGACCTCAGTACACGTGCGGGGAGAGCTGCAAAGCAGTGCAGCAGGGCTGTCGGCGTGCAAACATCTGGACCGACGTGGGCCCTGAGTGCTGGGACTAAAGGCACGTGACCCCTTTAAACCTTTCCGTCGCCCTCACTGCCAGTGCTCACCCGGCACTGTAAGGCAGTAAGACCGCTTTCATGCTGAAGAAACCCCGGGTGCGGTGAGCCCTGCCCCTGCCCCTGCCCCTGCCCCGGAGGGCCAGTGGACGTGGTGTATCTGAATGTCCCACGTGACTGGGCCTTTCTCCAGCCGGGAACTGAGCCCACAGACCAAGTGGAGCCATGTACAGAGGGGCAGTGCTGGAGGACGAACTTGCCCGTCAGGGAAACGTGGGCCCGGGAGAGGGATGAGGGCGAGCTTGCGTGCTCAGTGTGCACTACATGAAAAAGGCTATAAACCTAGTGTAGCCTATGATCCCAATGACGCAACGTAAAATAACGTCTGGGCTTGGCCCCGTAGCCCAGTGTCAAGGGGGCTGGATCCCACATGGCTACAGTCTGAACTTCAGCCCCAGTGGCACGAAAACACCAGGCGCGTGTGCGCGTGCTCACAGCCCTGACGGACGGAGAAGGCACTGGCGCGACCACGTCCCGGTGGGGAGCGCTTTTGCCCTCTCCCTGGGTCTTCATCTCTTTCTGGTGAGCACGTGCGCCCTCTGGCAATTAAAAGAATGTTTTTTGGAAGTAAACACACAAAATGTAAATAGTACATAGGGAAGGTCTGGGGCTGGACCAGGACCGAGGACTTTTTCATAAACATCGTATCTACTTTCCACGGCCACGGAGTTGCTGATGGCAAGGTGACTCTGGAGTGCGCGGTGGCTGTCCCCAGCCCTGTCTCAGGCGCCGTGTGGAAGTAGGCCCGTGTCCTTGTCAGGGGACAGCCTGCCCACTTGCCAGGCTGCAGGGAGCCATCCTGGGAGTGCGCCTGACAGTCCTGTTTCTACGTGAGTGAGGCTGACGTCACTCTAGATTCAACATGGAGCCCCTCAGGGGAAATGACGGACGGTCCTGCCTCTGCAGAAGCCACTCTGGGCTGCGGGGGGATGGCAAAAGGCAGCCAGCTGTCTGCCGGCAGGACCCCCAGGCACGCTGTCCTGGGGTTATTGCTGGAAGACCAACCACGTGGCACTGCCATGCCTGGGGGCAAAGCCATTCCCGTGGAGAAGCACTGGCCCGGAGAGCCCAGGGCCCAGAGCAGACCAAGGCCTGCACAGAGCACAGGAGTCTGGGGAAGGCAGGGCCCCACATCTTCCTGGACTGTCCTGTCACTTACAAGCCAGCGTTTATGCCGGGTGGAAAGCGTGGGCAGGTAAGGAAGAAAGAATTTCCTGAAGGGGCTCAGAAATGCATGAAGCCTCAGTGGGCTAAAGTCACGGGAAGGACTGCGGTGCTGTACAGATCTGCACGACCGCAGTGGGCCACCGTCACACAAGTGCTGCTCCGCAGCTTCCACCCTCGTCAGGGTCTCCTGCTCACCCGAGGGTGTGGCTCCCTCACTCCACCTCCTCAGTCCTTCCGGCGGACAGGTCTGGTTTCTGGCAACGGAAGCTATCGGGCACTGGAGCGCCCTGTCCCCAGAAGCTGACCAGAGGGCAGCTCGAGCTACTGTGGACAGGAAGACCACCCAAGGAGCACGCCTTCTGCCCAGCGGGAGTCCTGGCAGCCACCACACGGTGCCTCTCTGCCCCCCCGTCCCACAGCAGCCCTGGCCCTGGCCTGGCCCATCCCACAGTCTGTCACCCCTGCAGCTTGAGAATGAATGAATGACCAGAAGAAGGGGCTACCGGGCTGTCAGACATGGAAGGCCGGAGTTCATAGCCACACCTGCCGGCCCGGTCCGCTCCTCCCTGTCCCGTGAGCGTGTGCCCGGGGCCTCACCGGTAGGTGTCTTCGGAGTAGGTCTTCTGAACGTAGTCCTGCAGCTCCATCTGCGCTTTTTCTTGGAACTTTTCAATCTGGCTTGTGCTGCTCAGACCTGGATGATCTGAAAACAGAAGAGTGGCCCAAGGTCCCCCTTGTTTAGAGTCTCACTGCACACCTCTTGGTATCCTCAGTCGACGTCTCAAGTTCAGCAAGCTGAACGCCGAGGCTAGTCTAGTCGGATGCCACTGTAGGGACGCTGGCTTCCCCGCTCTTTTTCTTGGAACTTTTCAATCTGGCTTGTGCTGCTCAGACCTGGATGATCTGAAAACAGAAGAGTGGCCCAAGGTCCCCCTTGTTTAGAGTCTCACTGCACACCTCTTGGTATCCTCAGTCGACGTCTCAAGTTCAGCAAGCTGAACGCCGAGGCTAGTCTAGTCGGATGCCACTGTAGGGACGCTGGCTCCCCCGCGCCCTGCCGGGCTCCCGAGTGCACGCGGCTGCCTGTGTAGCCCCGCCTGGGCAGGTTCTGGACACCAGGCTTCCTACTGCTCTAGAAAATACACAGACTTAAACACTCTCAAAGAATATTAGAATGTGTCCCTTCCTATTCGAAAGTAGTCATGTCATTTCCTCTTTATTACTATTTGCTCTGGAGTGGAGAGCTGGGAGGGACAGGAAGGTTCAACTGTCCAGTCCCTGTGGCTGAGCTCGGCGGTCAGCCCGTGCCCTCTCTAGAGGTGCTGAAAGAGCTGAGGAGAGTCGAGGGCAGTGAGCGGAGGCCATCCTGGCCGCCTCTGCCTCCCCAGCCTCAGTCCTGCTCCTGGTCTTCCTCTGCTGTGCCCGCACCCCCAGCGGGCCCTGCAGCAGCCACTGCCCGCACAGCGCACAGGTGCGGTCCCAGGCGGTCCTCGGGGGCGTGCGCGGACACGGCCTGGAAACTGGCAGAGAACCAAAGTGAAGGCAGAGAGGAGAGGGCCCGGGACGGCAGGACCCTCTAGTGTGCCGCCGCAGTCTTGTCTGGCCGACGATTCCAGAAGGACAGACTGCCTCTACTCGGCCCCAGACCGTGGAGCCTATCTCTCTGGTGCTGTAAGGCAAGGGTTTAAAAGAAGGACATGTATGCCTGCCAGCAAAGCACCTATCCTGAAAGCCCCAGGTCACACATGGTCTGGCCGGGCCCTGTCTACACCGCTGACGACAACGCGCCTCCTGTCAGAGCTACCAGTGGACACAGGGGAGAAAGCATCGTGAGTCCCCAGCGCATATCTTACCGGGGCTAAAGAGAACTATAGCTTTAAGGTATGCGTACTCATAGCCGTCCACATCCAGCCTCGCCATGCTGTTGCAGAACTCCTGCAGCTTCCAGATGTGCTCCATGACTTGCTTTATCCGGTCGCCGGAGAGTTTGTCTAGAAACAACAGCGCAGACCCTGAGCAGGGTGGTGAACGCGACAGCCAGCCTCCTTGAGGCAATACGGCCTACACAGAGGTGCAGCTGGAGACCACGTGAGCCGGCTGTGGAATGCCTGTGTTAGTCCCACACCCCGGGCACGGCCCTGGGTGCTGGTCCTCGGCCTGCTGGAGAGAATGCACTGGCTGATCCCTGTCCTTGTGGCCGGCATTCTGACCAGCACATACGAGGTGGTGGCCGCAGACCTTCTAGGAGAGCTGTGCATTTGCTCACGACAGCTCGGTGAGGGCTCTGAGTCCTGCCCCGGGGGTAGGCATGACCCAGGCTCACGGTTCACATCCCTGCTCTTCTATTTACGATGTCCTTTGGGCAAGCCAGGGACCGTAGCAGAGCCTATGTCTCTCATATGAGTCTACTTTACACGGCTGTGAGGGACTGTAAGCTATTATACACGAAAGGGTCACGTCTACAACAGTAGAGACAAGCTGTGATTAGTGTGAAAACACTGCCAAATGCCGATCAGGAAACTGACTTTTTTTTTTGGAGAGGTTTTTGCTATCAGGCACGTGCGCTCACCAGACAGACAGAGACAGAGACAGAGAGACAGAAAGTGAGAAATCACCCCCCAGGGGGGATGGCCATGCCGCAATCCTTTCTCCTCCATTCTCCTCTCGGGATCTTGGGCATGCATGCACACGTGCCCGGCATGAGTTTAAGCCACCGAGTCCAGGACTCGAACCGCGGTTGACTACATGGGAGTCCAGCAACATAGCCATTACGCTAACTGCTGATCCCCTGGCGTGAGATTTTTTTTTTTTGGGGGGAGAGATTTTCACTGTAGGGCGCGTGCGCTCGCCAGACAGACAGAGAGAGACATAGAGACAGAAAGCAAGAAATCACCCCCCAGGGGGGATGGTCACGCCACAATCCCTTCTCCTCCATTCTCCTCTCGGGATCTTGGGCACGCACGCACGCGTGCCCGGCGTGAGTTTTAAGTCACCGGGGCCGGGACACGAACCGTGGTCGACTACGTGGGAGTCCAGCGACATAGCCATTACGCTAACTGCTGGTTCCCCCCTGGCATGAGTTTTAAGCCACTGGGTCCAGGACGCGAACCGCGGTTGACTATGTGGGAGTCTAGTGACCCAGCCATTATGCTTACTGCTGGTCCCAGGAAACTGACTTTTTAACATCTTTTTTTGCACCCTTCATATTTGTTGCATGAAAAGGCAGTACGGCAGAAATGCAAGTATTCTGACGGGTGAGAGCCCCATGGCCGTGGCTGCCCTGGAACACTGGCTGGCCAGCCTGCTGTGGCGCCAGCCTGGGCCTGGCGCCCCCCGCCCCGGGCCGGCCTACCTTCCTGCATGCTGTTCTGTAGGTGGTTGACGATGGCGGCCAGGATGGTGGAGAGGCTCATGACCTGGGCACACTGGGCCAGGCCGAGGGTGAAGAGCTCGTTCCAGCAGGCCCGCACGAGGCTGGTGTTGCAGTCCTGCCTGGGACACAGACAAGGGGCTGAGTGTGGTGCGTGCCGGCCCTTCTCCAGGGTGCGAGGCATACAGACACCGAGCCCTGGCACTCCCACGCCAGTGGGTTAAGCAAACACCTGCTGAGAGTCTACTGCGTCTCCAGGGTCCTTCTCTGAGAGAAAAGATGAAGTCAGTGAATACGTCTATCAATGTTATACGTAAAGTCTCTCTGAGGGTAAACTGTTCTCTTAAAAAAAAAAAAAAGAGGGACCAGCAGGTGGCATGGTGGTTAAGATGCTGAACACTCCCACATGGCCGAGTTCGAGTCCAGTCCTGGACCTGGTGGTTTACTTTCTCACTTTCCGCTCTAAAAAGCCACTCATACACTGCTTGTAAAAATAAAAAAAAAAAAAAAAAAAAAAAGAATAAATAAAATTCAATAAATAATTCTTTAAAAAAAAAAGATTAAGACTTAAATCATGGAACATTTTAATAAGTATGGCCAGACTGTCATCTCAACAGCCGAAAGCCTAAGGCCTCGGCAGTCCGGCCCTGGCTCTCTCCCGGGGGATCAGTATCTGTGACTTAGGGCCTACAGCCACGGCCGTGAGAGGCTGCAGTTCAAGGGCCCAGGAGCCGAGTGTGGGCTCTGAAGGGCAGAACGCCCTGGACACGCTGGGTGCAGGAAGCAGGCACGGCTGGAGCCGGGCCGGCGCAGGAGCAGGCAGAGCAACGCCGCCTGCAGCCCCGCCCTGGGGACCCGCGCTCGGTCGGTTCGCACTGTGCACGGCACTCTGGTCCTCACTCAGCAGCCCCAACGCAGTGTCAGCGTCAGCGTCGTTCTCAAGATTTCAGGAGACCAGAGGAACTGGGCCGCCTTGATCAGGGCCTTTCTGCAACTGCTTCGAGAATGGGCCCGCCACTCTGCCACCCCACACCCCAGATGCACATCGAGCATTTCTTTATGACCGACCAGTGCCCTGGTCCCTGACTTAGGAAGAGTGGGAGTGGAGTACAACTGAAACCACGGTAAGCGTGCTGCATGTTTTATCTAGCCTGCGCTGAGACCCCATGGGAGAGCTTCTAAATTACTCTAAATTGCTCAACTAGAAAAAGGGCAGTGGGTAAAATTTTTAAAAAAGAATTACTTATTTAATTTTACTTATCATAATTATTTTTTAAAGAATTATCTTATTTAACATTTATTTGTTTATTTATATTTGACAAGAGAGGGACAGAGAGAGAAAGTGAGAGAGAGAGAAAGTGAGAAAGCAAGCCGCCAGGTCTGGGATTTGAACCATGGTCAGCCACATGGGAGTCCAGCGCCCTTAACCACCACACCATCTGCCGGCCCCTCATTATTATTTTTTAATTTGCTACGGGGTACATATGCTCATTAGAGAGAGACAGAAAGAGAGAAAGAAAGAGAATATGAGAAAGCAAGCTATCAGGTCCGGCACTCAACCTGTGGTCGGCCATGTGGGAGTCCAGCGCCTTAACCACCATGCCACCCGCTGGTCCCATGGGTAGAATGTTTTAACTCCCTCTTAACCGTAGCTGTCCACCAACTCCAGTAAGCACAGGGTTACCAGCATGCTAGGTGCCTGAAGGCACACCACCTATCAGGAGGTAGGAAGTGCAGGCCCTCTGCCAGAGGCTAACAGTGACCTTGAACACCCCCCCTGCCACTGCCGGGCTTCTCTGCCTGGCCTCGGCTCCGGGAGCATGCCGACCGCGAAATCAACATCCAGGGCACCCGGTCCACCAGCATCACCTGGCCTTCCACTGCCACTCACTGTAAAGCTCTAAATCCTTTTTTTTGAGAAGTTTTGGCTACAGGGTGTGTGTACTTGCCAGAGAGACAGAAAGCGAGAAATCACCCCCTGGAGGGATGGCCACGCCGCAATCCCTTCTCCTCCGTTCTCCTCTTGGGATTTTGGGCACAAAGAGTTTTGAGCTGCCGAGTTTGTGAGTTGAACTGTGGTTGACAACGTGGGAGTCCAGCAACATAGCCATTACGCTAACTGCTGCTCCCTCTCTAAACCCTTTTAAGAATTATTTTTAAATGGATTTTCAAAAAATTTTATTTATTTATTTATTATTTACTTATTTTATTCTGACCAGAGAGGGACAGAGTCAGAGAGAGGGAAAGCGAGAAAGCAAGCTGCCAGGTCTGGGTGGGACTCGAACCACGGTTAGTCATGTGGGAGTCCAGTGCCTTCAACCACCATGCCGCCTGCGGCCCCTACCCTTGTAAGAATTCTACGATCAGGAAACTGGAGGTTCAGAAAGGAGAAGTGACTCACATAAGGTCATAGCTGACAAATGGTATTTTCACTCCTTAAAAAAAATTTATTTTTAAAATTTGCTATAGGGTATATGTGCTTACCAGACAGAGACAGGGAGAGAGAAGAGAGGGGAGAAGAGAGGGGGGAGGGGAGGGGAGAGGGGAGAGAGAGAGAGAAAGCCACCAGGTCTAGGACTCGAACCATGGTGGTCAGTCATGTGGGACCACCACACCGTCTGCCGGCCCTTTCCTTACTTGTTTTGAGACAGGGTCTCACTATTTGCTTGGCCTGCCCTCGAACGTGTGAGCCTCCTGCCGGACTCACGAAGAGCTGGCTTCACAGGGAAGCAGCACCACAGTGGACAGTAAGTACTGTTCCCATGACCCAAAACCCAGGTCTGCTCTTCAAGGTCAGTGGCACGGACCACCCGAGGACGGGAGCTGTCATGTGTGGTAACGCTCACTGACTATCTGTCCTCACGTGGCTGTTTGTCTTTCAGCCGACCCGATGGGCACGACGGCAGCTTGCACCAACGGTGTCGCACTGGGCACAAAGGCAGCGCTGGCACTGGGGTTGGAGAACTTCTGTCCCAGGGATGCTCACGGAAGCCAGGGCGAGGGCCTTTCTGAGGAGCACACACCAGCTCTGCCGCTCGGAGTGCTGGAGGGCCTGCGGAAGGCGCTGTGAGGACGTGAATCGGTGCCTGTTTGCGGGTGGGGCTGATTCACACGGATCTCGTCGAGGACCCAGCCATCCCTGGCCCGGCTTCGGCCGGGGATTCACTGTGCACGGCGCAGGGCCAGGGTATGCTCCTGCCTTCCGCTCCACCACCCCCAGCTGTGGCATCTAGTCCTTGGCGCACACGGGAGGCGCCATGAGGATTTGAGGAATATCGCGAATGGCCACCACGGTCCCCTGCCTCTATTTAAAAAGATACTAGAGGGTCCTTGCACAACGCCACAGGACAGGCTGCCAGGGCCCTTGCAGATCTTCCCGGTCGTTTCTACAGAGAAGGCCCGACCCAAGGACACACACGGGGAAAGGCCACTTACCCAAGTGCCTGGAAGGCCGGGATCGACCTGGCCCAGTGCATCGAGAGGAAGAGCAGACGGGATGCGGACTCGCAGATGTAGTGCACGTTGAGGTACTCCGGCATCGGGCTGGGCATCGTCAGCTGCAGAGAGGCGGCACAGCAGAGGCAGTGAAGGCAGGCCAGGCTGCCCCATCCTACCACACGCACCCCGCTGGGTTTTGCTGTCTGATTCCAAAGATCCTGTGCAGACACTGGGGCCCGTACCAACTCATGTTTTCTTGCTTAGTTAACTGGGGTCTAATGGCTCTTGGAATGTGGCCAGTAGGCCTGAGGGGGGGACTGGACAGCCATACAAAAACAAACTCTTGGGACCAGCAGTTAGCGTAATGGCTATGTCGCTGGACTCCCACGTAGTTGACCATGGTTCGTGTCCTGGACCCGGTGGCTTAAAACTCACGCCGGGAGCATGTGCGTGCCCACGATCCCGAGAGGAGAATGGAGGAGAAGGGATTGAGGTGTGGCCATCCTCCCTGGGGGGTGATTTCTCACTTTCTGTCTCTCTGTCTGGCGAGCGCACGCGCCCTATAGCAAAAATCTCTCTCTCAAAAACAAACAAACAAACAAACAAAAACCCAACAAAACAACAACAAAAAACTCAACTCTTGCATCAGCTACGTTGTTATTTATTTGTGGTAATTCCATTATTTTTTATTAATTTTTATGTATTTTTCTTTTAGTTTTGCTATAGGGTGGGCACACTCACCAGAGAGAAAGAGAAAGTAGGTAGGAAACACCTCACTACCTGGACGGTGTGCCTCGGCTCCCAGAGTCCATTCCTCAGAAGGTGCTCCAGGCCTGTGAAGCCGGAATCCCACTGGTGACCTGTGTCCTGCACCCTGGGGCACTACGAGCAGGGACCGACCTTCCTAGTGACAGGGCAAATCTCCCTAGTGTGGAACACTGAGGGACGGGAAGATTCAACGGGGAGGCCCCGAGACTGAGAGGGCTTCGGGCACCCTGCACGTGTCCTATGGAGAAAGCGAGGCCACAGAAGGACCCATAGCAGCCTTTGGTGTGGACGGCGAAGGTCCATTTTCTGTAGAGAAAGCGAGGTCACAGAAGGACCCATAGCAGCCTTTGGTGTGGACGGCTAAGGCCCACTTTCTGTGGCTCTAGAGGGCTCGTGCTTAGGAATCAGGGCTGGTGGCCGCTTGTTGAGGGTCCTACACTGCTTCTAGTGCACAGAGAGGGGATGAAAGCACAGGCCTGGGCCAACGCTCGGGAGGCAGAGCAGTCAGCTCTCCCCGCACCAGTCAGCACCATGCCAGCGGGCCCTGGCAACGCGAGGCCAGGCCTGCTCCAGAATGACCTTGAGCAAAAGACTAGGGAAAAGGCTTCGTAATGAGAATACTGTTCTGACCCTGCTGAAGGCATGATGCCGAACGCCACGATATGCAGATGTCTGGTTTTTAAAGCTGCAGACCACCTTCAGTACAGACGCTCTCTCCCCGGCAGGCAGCGGGTGGGGGACGGACAGGGGGCTAAGCGAGGACACTCACCTTAAATGTGACGTGCGTGTCTGAGAGGAGGGGGCCTTCCACCTCGATGATGGGCGTCGACTGGTCTCGGCTGATGACGTGGATGCTCCCTCCCCCACTGCTGTCCAGCCCATCTGCCAGGCTTGGAGGTGAGGCGCTGTCCGTGGTACTAAGTGCTTTCGCTAAGGTATCAAATGCTCTGTGAGCAAAACGAGACACTGGTAAAGGAGCAGCTTTTAGAGGGGACAGAGCTCTAGCTGAGGGACATTTAGAGAATTAATGCACTGGAGGGAGATGATGACTACCTGTGAGAGGAGAGCTAACAATGAAAGCTTCTACATACTGTCCACACGTAATTTGAAATGATGAGTTACTTACTTTCACATGTAATTTCAACATTGTGCAACTACCCTCCAATGACAGAAACTCTCTCCATTTTTACAGATGTGAATGCTGAGACTTAAAGAGCCAGACCATTCACACAGAAGGGACAGAATCAGAATTCTATTTAATCCAAATTCTAACCTCTTCTCCTTAGTTTGGACCTTTTTTTTTTTTTTTGAGAGGTTTTTGCTATAGGGCGTATGTGCTCGCCAGAAAGACAGAGACAGAAAGAAAGGAAGCAAGAAATCACCTCCTGGGGGCCACGCCACAATCCCTTCTCCTCCACTCTCCTCTCGGGATCTTGGGCACACACACACATGCACACACACGAGCGCCTGACGTGAGTTTAAGCCATCAGGTCTGGGACTTAAACCGCAGTCGGCTACATGGGAGTCCAGCGACATAGTCATTACACCAACTGCTGGTCCCTACATGATAATTTTTAAGAGATTTTTGCTATAGGGTATGTGTGCTTGCCAGAGAAACACAGAGAGACAGAAAGCGAGAAATCACCCCCCAGAGGAGATGGCCATACCACAATCCCTTCTCCCCCATTCTCTTGGGATCTCAGGCATGCATGCACATGTGCCTGGTGTGAGTTTGAAGCCGCCAGGTCCAGGACTCAAACTGTGGTCGACTACATGGGAGTCCAGCGACATAGCCATTACGCCACCTGCTGGTCCTTCTAGATGATTATTTGCTACCAGGCTCGAGTGGACATGAGGACGTGAGCCCTCCCCTGGGCCGCAGTGGCCAACTAACACTATTTATCAGCTGGTAACTAAACTCTCAACTCACCACTCAGAAATAAAACACGTGAGGGGGCCGGCAAGTGGTGTGCTGGTTAAGGCATCTGGACTCCCACATGGCTGACCGGGGTTCAGGTCCTGAACCTGATGGTGTGCTTTCTCACTTTCTGTCTCTCTGTCTCTCTTTGGTCAACTTCAATAAAATTAAAAAAAAAAAAAAAAGAAAGAAAGAAATTAAAAGAGAAATAATACATATGAGGAAAGCTGGTAAAGCAGGAGAAAGGGGGATGAGCTGCTCGTACGCAGGTACATTCCACAGCGATCAACACAAATAACACGTCCACTGAAAGGCTGCCCCTTCTTCACCGAGGTGCTCAATTTCCTTTCCATGGCTGGGTGGGAAGGCAGTTGTGACTGTTTTGTACCACATAATACAAGTAGATCCACACTGCAGCATTAAATATGAAAGAAGACAGGCGTGGGACCACTGGACAATCTCATAACCCTGGCTAACACGGGGTGGGCACCAGACACTGCCATCCGCCTCTCAGCCCGTACCGAGTGATCTCACTCGCAGACTGGTCCTCCGGCTGGATTTCAGAAGTGTCTCCATTGTTCAAGGACTCACTCAGGTTGGCAAGGGAGGTCACCACATTTGCCAGTGTGCCCAGAGCTCCCTGGCTGGTTTCAGCCTATAAAACAAGAAACAAGAACATTAAAAACGAACACACACACGAAAATGACAGGCCAATGACGGTACAATGCTGGTTCAAAACCAGCTTCTCTCTAAGGGAGTGCGATTACCCGGGGCAGCATGAGGGAGACCTTGCTGGAAACGGAACAGTTCTGTGTCTTGGTTGTGGTGGGGTTGGTTATACAAATCTACACAAGTGATAGAATGACACAGAGATAAAATGACAGAATGAGCACGGAAAATGGAACTTCACGAAAATGGTAACTTTTATGCTTCAAAAGACATTATCAAGAAAGTAAAAGAAAACCTACAAAACTAAAGGTTGTCAGCAGAACGGGAGAAAATATCTGCAAGTCATATATCTGGTAAGAGTTCAGGAGCCAGAATAATTAAGAAACTCATACAACTTAACAATAAAGAGCCAAATACTGGACCATTTCAGCCTACTGGTTAAGGGAGCTGGATTCCACATGGCCAACTGTGGTTTGAATTCTGTCGCCAGTAGCTTGGAAACCACACCAGTTGTATGTACATCATGCCCGAGATCCCAGCGGGGGAAAAGGCACTAGGCATTACCACGGCCCATTTTAAGTGCCTTCTCTCCTTCCCTCTCTGGCAAGTGCACGTGCCTTCTGGCAATCAAAAAAAGGAAAAATAAAAAAGGCAAATGAGCTATACTAGAATAATAATTACCCAAGTACGGTGTCTCTCTCCCTACTTCACTGCATTGCATTTAATGGGGGTCACTAAAACCATGGAAAACAAGATTGTGGGTAAGGGGGGACTACTGTACCACAATTTAAAAATGGACGAAGGATCCGAATAGACATGTCTCCAAAGAAGACACACAAATGACCAGTAAGCTCATGAAGACACTGGAAATGCAAATCAAGTCGTAATGAAAAACCACTTCGCATCAACTAGGATGTTTACGGTAAAAAGATGGGTAATAACTATGCTGGGAAGGACTTAGAGAAATCAGAACCCTCATGTGGGGGGGGGGGGGGGGGGTGTAAAGTGGTGCAGTTACTCTGAGAAACAGTCTGGCAGTTCCTCCAAAGTTTCAGCCTAAGTTATCACATGACCAACAATTCCATGCATAAGAGTCTAGTCAAGAGAAAGAAAAGCATGTCTGCAGAAAACCCAGCACACATGTATTCTCTGCCGCATTCTCCAGTCAGACAAAAAGTGGACACAGTCCATCAGCTGGCCCGAGACTAAATACAGCGTGACAAAGTCGTTTCGCATGTGCCTTTGCGATGAAAGGAAATGAACTACAGGCGTGGGTACAACTCAGGTGAAAACACTATGCTGAGAGATCGAAGCCGGTCACAGAGGGTGTCATATTGTACAACCGTCTTTCAGCAGAAAACACAGAAATGACGAAACCATAGTCGGAAAACAGAGTAGGGGCTAGCAGGGTTTGGAAGGAGAGGGAGGACAGCTTCTGGCAGGAGCTTTCTTTTCGGGGTGGTGATAATATTCTGGAGTTAGACGGTGCTGATGGCTGCACAGCCTTACGGTCATGCCAAAACCATATACTGGAAGGGGCAATGTGATGGCACGTGAATCGTATTTTAATTAGAAAAAAAGAGAGAAAGCCAGCAATAAGTAAATAAGACATATGTACAAAAATGTCGTGTCTTGATTGCCAAAGCAAAAACTAGAATCCATAGAAAAGATCATAAACCAGGACCCGATGAAGTCACAGCAGAGGCTCGATGCAGCGGCACCTAGGGAGGCTAGAAGCTACGCAGTAGACACTAACTTGTTCCCAGGCCGCCCCGAACACACGGGGTGTGTGGGCACGGACACTGCATAATGACGGCTAGGTGGGAGGCTGGGGCAGGAGGGGCATGGCACAGCAAGACACTGAGGAGTACTGACCTCTGCCTCTCTCCCTTTCCTTCTTCCTCTCTTATAAAAGAAGGACGAAGTCAACACTGTGCGGCTAACATACGCTGTGGACGTCCTGACAGACGGGCATGTCGAAGGGAGATCAAGTTGCAGTGAAGGCACGGAAGAGCAAACTCTGTACGACATCAGAGTCCCAGCTGTGGAGTGTTCAGACTGTGTCCAGCACAGCCACTGAGACTCTGCGAGACCCACTGTGGTAGCACTGTATTTATTTCAGAGTAAATGATTTTGAATGTATGATTACTCCAAAGTAGAAAGTAGAGAGGCCAGCAGGTGGCATGCTGGTTGGGGCACTGGCCTCCCACATGGCCGACTGCGGTACAAGTCCCAGACCCGGCAGCTTGCTTTCTCACTTTCCCTCTTTCTCTCTCTGTCTCTCTCTCTCTAGTGAATGCATGTGTCCTATAGCAAGTTAAAAAGAAATAATAAGTGGGGGCCCCCAGGTGGCGTGCTGGTTAAGGTGGCTGGACTTCCGCATGGCTGACCGTGGTTCGAGTCCCAGACCTGGCAACTTGCTCTCTCACTTTCCTTCTCTCTCTTTGTCTCTCTCTGGTTAACTTCAATAAAACAAATAAATAATTACAATTAATAAAATTAAATAACTTAATAGCTTCTGAAGATAGCTACCCTTAGGTGCTTCACATACACTTTTTATAATAACTTCCAGGTGGTGACTATGGTGACTATGAAGCGCTTTCTCTTTCTCTAAAAATTTAACTTAAATTTTAAAATGTGTGCAAGCATTTGCCAGAGAGATGGAGTGGGAGGCAATGAGAAACTGCCCCCCAGGGGGATGACCAATTCTTCCTTCCATTCTCCTCTCAGGATTTTGGGCATGCCCATGTGGGATCCAGCCACCTTCCCCACCACACCACTGGCTGGTCCAAAGCTCCTTCTCTTCACTACTTAGATACAGGTGGTTGAGAAAGCCATGACCTACTTATTCTGCTATGTGAACCTGTGCCCTGACGTTCCCAGTGACCCCACACTACAGAGCTTCTGCACTCAGTGAAAACGGATCCCTCACAGCTGCGATTTACCGACTGCTGCGTGCCAGGCGCTGTATCATAGGCAGTCCTGGGAGGTGGGTGGGGAAGAACAGTGAGGTGTGGGGAAGAACAGTGAGGTGTGGGGAAGAGGCGTGCAGCTGCTAAGAGCAGGGCTGGACTCAGCTCGGGCCCAGCCGGCTCGGGAGTTTGCGTTCTGCTGCAGTCTCTGCATAGACGGCAAACAGAACAGTTGCTGTGAGTCTCTTAGTAATCAGGAGTGCTCCGTTTTGCTTTTTGGCTATAGGGCACATGTGCTTGCCAGAGAGAAAGAGAAAGTGAGAGATCGCTCCCTGGGCAGATGGCCACACCACAATCTCTTGTCCTCCATTCTCCTCTTGGGATCTTGGGCACACACACTCGCACCTGGCATTTTTTCCAAACTGCAGTCAGCCATGTGGGATCCAGCTGCCTTAACCACCCAGCTGACCCGGTAATCAGGGGTTTTTAAGGTTATATAGAACTTACTCGAGGCTCAGATTTCCTCTACACTCTAGTGTGTAGTCAGAGCCACTGCAACAGTTTGGCTATGGTTTGTCCACCAAAGGTTCATGTGCTAGAAGCATGGTCCACGGGTGGTGTGGGCACGGACACTGCATAATGACGGCTAGGTGGGAGGCTGGGGCAGGAGGGGCATGGCACAGCAAGACACTGAGGAGTACTGACCTCTGCCTCTCTCCCTTTCCTTCTTCCTCTCTTATAAAAGAAGGACGAAGTCAACACTGTGCGGCTAACATACGCTGTGGACGTCCTGACAGACGGGCATGTCGAAGGGAGATCAAGTTGCAGTGAAGGCACGGAAGAGCAAACTCTGTACGACATCAGAGTCCCAGCTGTGGAGTGTTCAGACTGTGTCCAGCACAGCCACTGAGACTCTGCGAGACCCACTGTGGTAGCACTGTATTTATTTCAGAGTAAATGATTTTGAATGTATGATTACTCCAAAGTAGAAAGTAGAGAGGCCAGCAGGTGGCATGCTGGTTGGGGCACTGGCCTCCCACATGGCCGACTGCGGTACAAGTCCCAGACCCGGCAGCTTGCTTTCTCACTTTCCCTCTTTCTCTCTCTGTCTCTCTCTCTCTAGTGAATGCATGTGTCCTATAGCAAGTTAAAAAGAAATAATAAGTGGGGGCCCCCAGGTGGCGTGCTGGTTAAGGTGGCTGGACTTCCGCATGGCTGACCGTGGTTCGAGTCCCAGACCTGGCAACTTGCTCTCTCACTTTCCTTCTCTCTCTTTGTCTCTCTCTGGTTAACTTCAATAAAACAAATAAATAATTACAATTAATAAAATTAAATAACTTAATAGCTTCTGAAGATAGCTACCCTTAGGTGCTTCACATACACTTTTTATAATAACTTCCAGGTGGTGACTATGGTGACTATGAAGCGCTTTCTCTTTCTCTAAAAATTTAACTTAAATTTTAAAATGTGTGCAAGCATTTGCCAGAGAGATGGAGTGGGAGGCAATGAGAAACTGCCCCCCAGGGGGATGACCAATTCTTCCTTCCATTCTCCTCTCAGGATTTTGGGCATGCCCATGTGGGATCCAGCCACCTTCCCCACCACACCACTGGCTGGTCCAAAGCTCCTTCTCTTCACTACTTAGATACAGGTGGTTGAGAAAGCCATGACCTACTTATTCTGCTATGTGAACCTGTGCCCTGACGTTCCCAGTGACCCCACACTACAGAGCTTCTGCACTCAGTGAAAACGGATCCCTCACAGCTGCGATTTACCGACTGCTGCGTGCCAGGCGCTGTATCATAGGCAGTCCTGGGAGGTGGGTGGGGAAGAACAGTGAGGTGTGGGGAAGAACAGTGAGGTGTGGGGAAGAGGCGTGCAGCTGCTAAGAGCAGGGCTGGACTCAGCTCGGGCCCAGCCGGCTCGGGAGTTTGCGTTCTGCTGCAGTCTCTGCATAGACGGCAAACAGAACAGTTGCTGTGAGTCTCTTAGTAATCAGGAGTGCTCCGTTTTGCTTTTTGGCTATAGGGCACATGTGCTTGCCAGAGAGAAAGAGAAAGTGAGAGATCGCTCCCTGGGCAGATGGCCACACCACAATCTCTTGTCCTCCATTCTCCTCTTGGGATCTTGGGCACACACACTCGCACCTGGCATTTTTTCCAAACTGCAGTCAGCCATGTGGGATCCAGCTGCCTTAACCACCCAGCTGACCCGGTAATCAGGGGTTTTTAAGGTTATATAGAACTTACTCGAGGCTCAGATTTCCTCTACACTCTAGTGTGTAGTCAGAGCCACTGCAACAGTTTGGCTATGGTTTGTCCACCAAAGGTTCATGTGCTAGAAGCATGGTCCTAGAGCAGTGGTGTTGGCAGAAGGTGGGACCTTTTTTTTTTTTTTTTTCTTTTTTTTTTTAGAGAGGTTTTTGCTATAGGGTACGGGCGCTTTCTCAACACGG